ATACACACACACAGAAATTGTCTTATTCATACATGCACACAAACTGTCTAATACATTCAAACAGAAAATGCCAAATACATACATACACCAACATATACAAACTGCATCATATACACATACACTTCTAATACATACACTCTGGCTAATACATACCAGTACACATACAAAAACTGCTTTATGGATACATACAGGGGGATGGATTTGTTTTTTGAACTTTGCTTGTCCAAGGTAATAAAGTGAACACATACACAAACACACTGACACATACAAAAAAAACTACATATTCACACGCACACTGACCGATACACAAAAATACTGCACACTGACCCATAGACACACAAACTAAACATTCTCTGACACTCATACACAGTACAGATTACCAGCAGCAGCAGCATGTCCCATGCTACTCTGCCTTTTAAAGCGTGTTGGCCGCCGGGTATAATGTCACACTGAATCCCAATGGCTATGAGTCCTGAAGTCCTGAGCATTGGGAGGGGCGGCTGGCCTCTGCCACACCTCCCTTCCAGTTACAGCATCCCATTATGCCTACTGGAGATACACCATCTCACCCCTAGGTGGCCCTTAAATAATAAAAAACCTTCCTGTCTGACCCCCAGGACAGTATGTCCCAGGCAATATACATTTCACATCCTTGATACTTACAAACACAATACATTGAAATATATGATGATTACATACATGTAATATATACATACATATACCAGCAGACACATACACTGCTTAATACATACACACACACACACACACACACACACAGAAACTGTCCAACAGAAACATACACTGCCTAATATCTAATACACACATGGCACATTGCCTAATATCTAATACACACACAGCAAGCTGCCCTCCATCCCTCACATACTCAGGTGGGGGCTAGCGGCACTGGAATCAGCCCAGACACTTAATGTAGTACCTCCACTGCTGTCATGCTTCCAATCTGTGTATGGTCCCTCCCACAGGCTGTCCAGGATCAGGACATGGGGGTAGGACATGGAAGCTCTGCCCTCCACTTCAAAGGACTTGGGTACTGTAGGTGGGGTCTTGGGAGGATGAGTCAGAGACAGGCTGAGGGATGGAGTTAAAAATGTTTGGGGCAGGGAAAGGTGGGGTAAGACACTGAATGGGCAAGGTTAATATTTTATGGGAGGGCAGAGGCAGGGTTACATTGTAACCCCTAGGCACCATTTAAAGCATGTTAAAGCCAAATTACCAGGATGAGGGCAGGAGCAGAGAGGGGAGGGGAGGGCACTTCCAGCAGCTCTACCACAGTGGGAGGTGGCACACGCAGGTTTAGTTCAGACAAGTATTACAGCCAATGTGGGTGCCCCTCTTAAACTGGGCCCAAGGCCACTGCTTAATTAGCCTAATGGAAGCCCTGATTGGAATCAGAATCAGATCAATTCTCAGAATGGCAGCCCCAGTCCTGCAGTTTGAAGCTTCACAACTGTTCAACTAGCCACAGCATGAGTGTCTCAGGTCTCAGCTGTGGAGCAGTAGCATCACTAGGATTGGTTTTACCCCAACCGCCTAAATGTGTTATTTTTTTTTTTTTTACTACTGTAACTCGTAAATCATAACTCCCATCAGGGCCAGTGCAAGGATTTTTGCCACCCTAGGCAAACAAAAATTTGCGCCCCTCATATGCTCTGCTGCTCACCATGTGACATCACAATGCCCCACCCATATATCCTGCCATAAGAGTTAATGCCAGTGCTGCACACAGTGTCTTTTCTCTGAAAAGGCAGTGTGTTTACATTAAAAAGCCTGCAGGAACAGGCTAATGACACCAGAACCACTACATCAAGCTGTAGTGCTTCTGGTGACTGTAGTGTCCCTTTAATGTAAATCAGAGATTAGTCAGACTACTTACCACCAATGTGTGTGTGTTCTTATGGAATGTAGTATATAGGAATACCAGTTTGTGTACAGGATATAGTGTATTTGTATAGGGGATGCAGTGGATTTGTGTGTAAGGGATAGAAAGCAGTGTGTGTTTCTGTATAAGGAATTAATTGTGTGTGTGTGTGTGTGTGTGTGTGTGTATGTGTGTGTGCAAGAGATGCATTGTGTGAATCTGTGTTTGTATGTGTAAGTGATGCAAGGTGTGTTTCTCTGTATGTAAGGGGTGCTTTGAGTGTGTGTAAGATGCATTGTTTTTCTGTGTGTGCATAAGAGATGCATTGTGTGTTTTTGGATATAAGGAATGCAGTGTGTGTGTGTGTGTAGGATGCATTGTGTGTAAGGCTGAGTGTGTAAGGGAAGCATGGTGTGTTTTTGTGTTTGTGTAGGATTCACTGTATGTTTCGGTGTGTGAGTAGGGATGCATAGTATGTTTATGTGTGTGTGTGTGTGTGTGTGTGTGTGTGGAGGAATCATGTGTTTCTGTGTATGCTTAAGGATGCATTAAGTATGTGTGTAGTGTGAAAGAGAGGGTTTGTGGCCCCTCTGTGTGGCTTTCCCTTCCCACCCCCAGGTCCCTCTGTGCGTCTACCTCCTGAGCCCCTTTGTGTGTCTGTGTGTCCCTTAGTAAACTTCCCTCCACTCCTGTCCCTTAGTGCTCTCCCCTGCTTCCCTGTTCCTTAGTGATCTCCCCTGCTCCCCTGTCCCTTAGTGCTCTCCCCACCCCCTCTTTGCCTTAGAGTTCTACCCCCCTCACCTGTCCCTTAGTGGTCTCTCGTGTCCTCCCCCCTTCCCTGGTGGTCTCTCCCCCCCTTCCCATGGTGGTCTCTCCCCTTTCCCCCCCTGGTAGTATCTCCCTCTCCCCCCACCCTCCCCTGGTTGTATCTCCCATCTTCCCCACCCCCTGGAGGTATCTCCCCTCCCCACTCCCCTGGTGGTATCTCCCCTTCCCTTGTATGTTGTATGTTATAGTTAAAGCATATTAAAAACAAAGACCAACGAATCTGCTCACATTACTTGAAAGCAGACTCTATTAAGTAGACACTTTCAAGTAGGAGTTAGAAAACCAGGAGTTGCTTGGAGTGGTTTGTATACTGTGGAGAGTGGTTTGTATTTTATTTTTGTTTAATCTTTAAAATTGGTGAAGTTTAAAAAAAAAAAGGGGGGTTTAAAAAAAACAAAACATTTTCTGTGTTCTGGTTTTCCCTCTCTTTTGTGCTGCTGCTTGATTGATTGGGGGAGTGTTCATTAATTGCACCTGAGTGGGATCTGTATCCCCATAAAGGCACACCCCTAACTCACCGAGCTCACATTACTTGAAAGCAGCCTCTATTAAGTAGACTCTTTCAAGTAGGAGTTAGAAAACCAGGAGTTAAAACTAACAAGGGGTTTAAACTAACAAGGTAATTGTTTTATTGTTCTGTTTCTGGGGAAATGAGTGTTCGCAAGATTGCTGGTTTGACTCAATGCACATCTTGTTGCATGTATGGATGCCTGGATGTACCCATCCAGGGTCCATACCTCTGTGATGGTTGTGTGCGAGTGGCTTCTCTGGAACAGATGAATGAACAGATTGGAGATCTCGAGAAGCAAATCGCAACTTTGAGGGAGATTGACAATCTTGAGAGGAGTCTGCTGCTCACTGAGCGGAGTTTAGTGGGGACAGTTAGTGGAGAGGGAGGAGATAATACAGATGGGGAACAGGCATGTAGCTGGGTGACAGTGGGGCGAGGAAGCAGGCGGGGAGGGAAGAGGAAAGGGCTAGCTATTCCTGATTTGGTGCAACCTAGCAGATTTGCCCGTTTGAGGGAAGATGTTGGGAGCATCAGCTCAGGAGTAGCTGTATTAGAGGAAGCTGTTACTTCTAACAGCCGAGGTAACAGCCCCTCTAGTACGAGTGGGGATCAAAATGTAAGGAAGGCAAGACAGGTTGTGATGGTAGGGGACTCTATCATTAGGAGAGCAGATAGGGCAATCTGCCGCTCTGATCGGCTCAACCAGACAGTTTGCTGTCTCCCGGGTGCTCGGGTCCGGCATGTTGCTGACAGAGTGGATGGATTATTGGGAGGAGCTGGGGATGACCCAGCGGTCATGGTCCATGTTGGTACCAATGACAAAGTAAGAGGAAGATGGAAGGTCCTAAAGAATGATTTCATGTAATTAGGTAGCAAACGTAAGAAAAGGACCTCCAAGGTGGTATTCTCTGAGATATTACCTGTGCCACGCGCTACAGTGGAAAGGCAGCGGGAGATTAGAGAGGTCAATGCGTGGCTTAAGTCTTGGTGCAGGAAGGAGGGTTTTGGGTATTTAGAGCACTGGGCCGACTTTGCGATTGGGTACAACCTTTATAGTGGTGATGGATTGCACCTAAACGGGAGAGGGTCTGCAGTGCTGGGGGATAGGATGGCTAGAAGGTTGGAGGAGATTTTAAACTAGTAGTAGGGGGGGAGGGTCATAGCAATCTACAAAATGGAGATAGGACAGAAAGGAGATGGGCTTTAGCACAGTATAAGGGGGGTGGAGATGGGGGGAGGGGCAAGCTCAGAACAGAGAAGCTGTGTAATGTTGAAAATTCACAAAATATACAAGTGACACATAATATTAAATGTATGCTTACTAATGCAAGGAGCCTAAATAACAAAATGGGGGAACTAGAGGCATTAGCATACACTAAACAATATGATATAATAGGCATAACTGAAACATGGTGGGATGAGACACATGACTGGGCAGTTAACTTAAATGGGTGCATGTTATTTAGGAAGGATAGGAAAAACAAGAAGGGTGGTGGGGTATGTTTGTATGTCAACCATGATTTAAAGCCAAATCTTAAGCAAATGGAATGCGATGAGGAAAATGTGGAAGCTTTATGGGTAAGTATCTGCTTTGGGGAAAAGAAGGGAAACTATTGGTTGGGATATGTTATAAACCACCTAATGTTAATATTGACGAAGAACAACAGCTGTTTGGGCAAATTGAGAAAGCTGCAAATCTTGGTAACACTTTAATTATTGGAGATTTTAATTACCCGGACATAAATTGGGACAGAGGGACTAGTAGCTCAGCAAAGGGAATTAGGTTTTTAAACTTGTTAAATGACACCTTCATGTCACAACTTGTACAAGCACCAGCTAGAATGGACGCTTGTCTGGACCTGGTTTTAACAAACAACGTTGATCTTTTGACCAACATTCAAGTAGGTGAGCACTTGGGAAATAGTGATCACAATATAGTGTCCTTTGAAATAAACTCAAAAAAACAGAAGCACATGGGGTATACTAAAACATATAATTTTAAAAAGGCCAATTTCAATAAGTTAAGGGAAGCTTTACAATATATTGACTGGTATAAACTCTTTAGTGAAAAGAACACTGAGGATAAATGGATCATCTTCTAACAAATATTAGAAAGGTACATTTCTCAGTATGTACCATTGAGAAATAAATATAAAAGAAAAATTAAAACCAATGTGGCTTAGGAGAGAAGTAAAACAAGAGATTAAAAATTGGAAAAGGGCATATAAAGCATTTAAATCGGACAAATCTTATAAAAGATATAAGGAAGCAAATAATGCGTGTAAAAAGGCAGATAGACTTGCTAAACTTCAAAATGAAAAAATGATAGCTAAAGAGAGCAAAACCAACCCCAAAGCATTTTTTAAGTACATAAATTCTAAAAAACCCAAAAATGAAAGTGAAGGTACACTAAAAACTGAAATGGGGGTGTTAGTTAATGAAGACCAGGAGAAGGCAGGAATTTTAAATAACTATTTCTCCTCCGTATATATTAAGGAAGAACCCATGGCAAAAGATGTGCAAATGATTGCTACTAAAAACTTGCAGAATAATTGTAATTGGTTAACTGAAGACAAGGTGCTGCAGCAACTAAAGAAAGTTAATATGAACAAAGCTCCAGGGCCTGACGGTATCCATCCACAAGTACTTAAGGAACTAAGTGTAGAAATAAGTGAACCTCTGTTTTTAATCTTTCAAGATTCTTTTCTTTCAGGAAATGTTCCGGAGGATTGGAGGAAGGCAGATGTGGTTCCTATATTAAAAAAGGGTTCAAAATCCTTGCTTGGAAATTATAGACATGTGAGCTTAACTTCTGTGGCTGGTAAAATATTTGAAAGGTTATTAAGGGATATAGTCAAGAATTCCTTGAGAAGAACATGGTTATCAGCAAAAATCAGCACGGTTTTATGAAGCACAGGTCATGTCAAACTAACTTGATTGCGTTCTACGAAGAAGTAAGTAGAAGTATAAATCAGGGTGTTGCCGTGGATGTGATCTATTTGGATTTTGCCAAGTCATTTGATACAGTTCCACACAATAGATTAGTGTTAAAACTCAAGGAAAAAATGTTTGTTCTTGGGTAGAACATTGGCTTAAAAACAGAGTACAAAGAGTTGTCATTAATGGTACATTTTCAAGCTGGACAAGTGGTGTCCCTCAGGGGTCTGTTCTGGGACTCCCTCTATTTAACATGTTTATAAATGATATTGAAGACAGCATTGAAAGTCATGTTTCAGTGTTTGCAGATGACACAAAACTTTGTAAAATAATACAATGTGAGCAAGATATTACTTTGCTGCAGAGGGATTTAGATAGACTGGGGGACTGGGCACTCAAATGGCAGATGAAATTTAATGTTGAAAAATGCAAAGTTATGCACTTCGGAGTAAAGAATACACAAGCAACGTATACCCTTAATGGAAGCCAATTAGGGATAACAACACACGAAAAGGACTTGGGAATTGTTATAGACAACAAACTATGCAACAATGTGCAATGTCAATCAGTAAGGTATTGTCATGCATGAAAAAGGGCAGTTATTCTCAGGACGAGAATATAATTTTGCCTCTTTATAAATCACTGGTAAGACCCCATATTGAATATGCTATGCAATTTTGGGCACCTGTTCTAAAGAAGGATATTATGGCACTAGAAAAAATGCAGAGGCGGGTTACAAAATTAATAAGAGGAATGGAACATATCAGCTATGAAGAAAGGTTAACAAATTTAAACCTATTTAGTTTAGAAAAACGTCGCCTGAGAGGGAATATGATAACATTATACAAATATATTCGGGGCCAATACAAACCATTGTGTGGAAATCTATTCACAAACCGGACTTTACATAGGACACAAGGCCATGCGTTTAGACTGGAAGAAAGAAGATTTCGCCTAAGGCAAAGGAAAGGTTTTTTTACTGTAAGAACAATCAGGATGTGGAATTCTCTGCCTGAGGAAGTGGTTTTATCAGAGTCCATACAGATGTTCAAACAGCTACTAGATGCATACTTGCAAAACAGAATATTCAAGGATATAATCTTTCAATGTAGGGTAATAACTGCTTGATCCAAGGATAAATCTGACTGCCATTCTGGGGTCAAGAAGGAATTTTTTTCCCAGCTTGTTGCAAAATTGTGCTTCAAACTGGGTTTTTTTGCCTTCTTTTGGATCAACAGCAAAAAACAAATGTGAGGAAGGCTGAACTTGATGGATGCAAGTCTCTTTTCAGCTATGTAACTATGTAACTATGTAATGCCTGTCAGACATTCTTTTCGCCTCTCCGAAGTAGGAAAGGTTTTTGTGGTCAGTAAGAATGGTGATCGGTTCAGGTGACCCCTCTAATGGATGATGCCATTCCTTGAGAGCTGAAATAATAGCTAACAGTTCCCTATCTCCTATATCATATCTTCGTTCCGTTTCAGTCAGTTTTTTAGAGAAAAAACACAGGGATGTAGGGGTTGATCATTTGAGGGTCTCTGAGATAGTACAGCCCCTATCCTTGTCTCTGAGGCATCTACCTCTAATATAAAGGGACACAAAGGATTAGGATATCTTAATATTGGGGCTGAAGAAAAAGCTATCTTTTATTTCTCAAAAGCTTCCTTAGCTTCGGGACTCCACACCATATGATTCCTATTCTTTTTTTGTCATGGCGGTAATAGGAGCGGTAATAGAGGAAAACCCTTTGATAAATTTTCTATAATAATTAGCAAATCCCAGGAAACGTTGGATGGCCTTAAGTCCAACGGGTAGTGGCCAGTTTAAGATTGCTTACAGTTTTTTAGGTTCCATTTGAAAGCCCGAACCTGAAATTATATAACCTAGGAAATTAACCTTTTCCACGTCAAACAGACACTTTTCTAGTTTACAACAGAGTCCATTTTTTCAATAATTTACATAGGACCAACCTAACATGTCTATGGTGTTCCTTAATATTCTTAGAGTAGATGAGTATGTCATCTAAATAAACAACAACAAACATTTGTAGATAATCCATTAATACATCGTTTATAAAATCTTGAAAGACTGCAGGGGCGTTGCATAAGCCGAACGGCATAACCCTGTATTGATAATGGCCATAGCGAGTATTGAAAGCAGTCTTCCACTCATGTCCTTTCTTAATTCGAACTAAATTATATGCTCCCCATAAATATAACTTAGTGAATATGGTTGCTCCCTTCAACCTGTCGAAAAGCTCAGTTATAAGTGGGATGGGATAAGCGTTTCGTATGGTTATTTTGTTTAAATCCTGATAGTCAATACAAGGTCTCAAGTCTCCCTCCTTTTTAGAAACAAAGAAAAACCCGGCCCCAGCCAGGGAGGAAGTCTTAGTAATAAAACGCTTTTTCAAGTTCTCTGTGATGTACTCTTCAAGTACTTTATTTTCGGTCACAGAGAGGGGATACACGGTACCCCTAGGGGGCATAGTACCGGGTAATAGGTCAATAGCGCGATCGTATTAACGATGGGGTGGTAACTTTTCCGCTTCCCTTGGTTCAAAGACCGCCTTGAGATCCAAATATTGTTTGGGTATTTGGGTGGTTAATGGTTCCATGGTAGGAACATTAAGTAGACCTATTGGTTTGACTTGAAACAAAATTCTCCCCATTTTACGATCTCTTTTCTCTCCCAGTCTATTAAAGGATTGTAAACAGCAGATAGAAAGTCACTTCCTGGTTTTGTCCGTCCCGATCACATGATCACTACCGGGTCTGCCTCTCTTGTGACGTGTACGTGACGCGTTTCGCCCGCCTCCACAGGCTTCCTATGACGACGTCATGGGCATCCAGCCCTTACTTTTAAGTGTCTCACTCCTCCCCTTCTGTTATTCCATTAGTCCGGGGGCGTGGTTTCCTCGTAAAAGGCTGGTTTCATTCTTCCTCTTGTGAGAATCTGAATCCAATGCCCCTACTACCTTTGCATATGCATGTTTAATCAGGAAACCACTATTTAATTAAGGGCTAGTGTCCAACCTACTATTGCACATAATTACTAAATTAAACACACAGAATGTCTTGTATCAATTTAGCCTCATATTAAAACTCAATTAATACATAAATGTTGAAGCAGGATAAATTCAATATATAACTTATGTAAGCAGAGACTCCACTTAGAGATCCAAATATAGATAACCAATTATCAGTTATCAAGGGTATCTCTGTATTGTAATTAAAAAATAGGTATTATTAAATCCAAATACAGAATTTAAAGGGATATTCACCTCCATACTATCACACCTTATAATTACATATGATACAGCAACCTAATATGAAATAAAGTTCTATATTTATCTTGAAAGGATGATAGATCTAAACTTCTATTACTTCGGATCAATAAGGGAAATCCTGCTAAAATACAAATGATGGAGAGAACAATGAATAGGGTTACTTTCCATATTCCTTCTTGTCATTTAAGAAAGTGTTCTTATTAGAACCAAGATATAAAAGAATGCTTTAAAATGACAATAATGGATACATTTAAATAGAATACACTAGGAAACCACAGCATCCCTTAGGATCATCCCCATAATGAAGAGGGGGTGTAGCGTGGGCAGAAGCCCCCCCTGCAACCATCTCCATCTGAGATTCCTGGGATCTATGACCCCGGATATGTTCTTCCGGCTGGAGATTGGCAGTACGGGCTAACAAGGTCTGAACAGCTACAGTGAACTGGTCCATACGATGGTCCAGTTCCTCAAACCGGTTATCAGGAACCGGCCCATGAGAGTTAGCACATGCAGAGTCCATGGCTCTAGTGTAATGTCACGACAGTGACCCCTTCACGCAGATAGTAACCCAGTAAGAGACATATACCGGACCTTAGGGTGGCCGGACTTAACGTCAGAGAATAGTCAAAAGAATAGCCAGAGGTCAAGGGAGTACAGAACACGGAATACACGAGAAACAACCAAGCCAAAATTCGGGAAGCCAGAGAGGAGAATAGTCAGTAAGAAAATCCAAGGGTCAATATACCAGAAAACAAACACAATTGTCAAGAGCACTAGAGGGAACAAACAAGAACCACACT